GGTACTTCGAGCCTAACATCTATATATATAAAAGTTTAACACTACATTACTGCTTTAGCACAAAACATTGAAAGGATTTTCGAATCAAGATGTAAAACTATTAAAAAGTATAATTATTAATGACCTTTTTTTTATTCAAAATAGTATTCTTAGTGCTATAAAATAACTTAGAACAATATTTTATTTAAGTTGTAGCGAATTTTTATTGTTGAGATATACAAATATAAAATACCAACACAATAACTTTCAATTACCCACTTCCCTCTAATAATGAGATAACAAATACAATTGAAGTTTAGGTTATTCTTTTTCAAACAAAGGAGTTCTATAATGACATTGTTTACTTTCCTCAATCCCATAACAAATCACTTTCTAAACAAGATTTTTGTGACTATGCCTTCGACTTAATGTTAGAAGAGAACCAATTAGAGAAGCTATGAGAGATCAATAATGCTTTCGCATGTCCCATTCAAATGAAATTCTACTTCCCGGAAGTTAGTTTACTCAAAGAGGAAACATACCACGAAGATAAAAAGTGATGTTAAAAGATGTACGGAAGTTTTTCTTGAATGCCTTTTCACTCACTTTAATTAAATTTCCTTTTAGATAGATATCAGATTTCAATTTGTTTTTTAATTGTTAAGAATTGATAGTATGAGATACGACAGATATTCCTATAGCTGTTAGTAGGTTAAAAGAAAAATTTTATATAATTAAATAACAGGATATATAAGAATAATAAGGGAAAGAGAGAAATTTTTCTTATAGAAAAAAGTTGACTCAAAATTAATGGAAGATAGTCACGCTGGAGAACTGATTTTACTTAATTTTAACAAAACCTTAGACATCACGCAGCTTAATATATTGTTTGTCATATTTCGAATGGGAAACAAGTAACAACAGAAATGTTCAGTTTCAAATTAAATTGAGAAACGTACTTATTCCTCAGAAAAAGGAAAGAATTATTAGAATTAAGGAATAGCGCATTCTCTGTGTCATTCGTTATATTTTTCATTTCTTTTTAAAACATTTCGTAATGTGCAATTTTTGGAATTTAAATTTTTGCAGTTTTCTTTTATTTATTACATGTAAAAATTCATTAGTGTGTATGATTTTATTGCTTCAAAAATATGCAGTGTAGAAAGTATAAGAAAATTTTTACAGCTGCTCAGACTAAAGTTAAATATTTACAATACTGAGCAAAAATTTTCATATCGTTGATTATTATGGTATAAACGGATAATATTTATGATATTTAGTGTCACTTAGATTAGAAAATGTATATAAAATCTTTTTAAGAATAGTATTACAATAAAAAATTATTTAAGTACAATATTTTGACAAAAAATGAACATAGAATGACCCATTTTCAAAATATTCTCCTTTTGCGAAAAAAGCTTCAATTAAAATAATATTTTGCCTGTATATAGCTCAGACCTCTGTACAGAGGCTCAACTAGAATTTTTGAAATATATAACTCAGAAGTGGGTTTATCCATTTTTTACGACAACACAGGGGGAAAATTTTAAGAAAAAAACGCCGATAATTATTTCAATGGGTTGCAACTCTGAAAATAATGTGAATTTTTCCAAAATCACATAGTTGAACCTCTGTACAGAGGTCTGAGCTATATACAGGCAAAATATTATTATAATAGAAGCATTTTTCACAAAAGGAGAACATTCTGAAAAAAAGGTTATTCTAGATTAATTTTTTGCCTAAATATTGTATTTAAATAAATATTTTTGTCACAATGTCCTTAAAACAATTTTATACATGTATTCTAATCTAAGTGATACTAAATATCATGAAAATTATCCATCTATGCGCTTTTTTAAAATCCCGGTTCCAAACGTAGTCGGATACCCCTTAATCATTTTATTCTTATTTATTTTTTTAACTTTTCAGTTCGATTAGCTATAAAAACGTGTTTCTTAGTTTTTAAAATTGTAATTTAATTTTAATTTTTAGTTCGATCTACAATAAAAGCGTAGGGTTTTTTTTAAAACTATCATTTATTCGTTCATGAATTAATCTTCCTTTTTGTATTTGTATTAACCATGAGCGGTTTCACTTTAGGATTGTAACTTAATCTCTTAGTCACCAAATCTGGAAATGGGAAATCGTTAATCCTGACAATCCTGTTCAGGACAATGGTACAAAATAATTAAATTATTGTATTGTCATAGGTCCTTGAAAGGAGAGTAAAATTTCGAATTAATCTGACCTTATAAAGTGGGTAAAAATTGAGTTCAAAGATTCCGTTACATACGGGTGAAGCTAATAAAATCAAGTTAAAAAGAGAATATTTTGGAAATATGTCATTTTTTTTTTCATTTTTTGCCAAAAAAATTACATTTAAATCATTTTTTCTGGCAATAATAATCTGAAATTTATTATGTGTATTCTAACTCAGATAACACTAAATGTCAATATATATATATATATATGTATATACCCGTTTATACGCTTTTTAAAATCACAATTCCGAACGTAGCCAGTCCCCTAAGGTATGAATTATAGGTAAGAAAAGCATTTTGATTATAAGTTTCACATAACGGTGTTTTGAGCATAAAGCGAGGGATTGTAATATTCTGACTTATTGCATAATAATAAGATTACTGGATAGCGAAATAGTGATTTTTTGATCGATCCGATTTCCCAAACACCTCTCTAATTTCAGATCAGAATTTAGTTGGGAAAGTGCAGAAAGGCGTGAAAATTATCACACTTCTTAATAAGCGTGAACTTGACTTCTTTTTTTAATGCTACAGAAAAATGGTTCACATGATGAGAGAGAAAAATAAACACTGATTACTTTATACTAGTGGGATTCAAAAGTTCCTGGACTGAGCCCATAACGTGGAAAATTTTTGCAGTGTAGAGTAACTACAATAACATTTTAGTGTTATTGCATTCTTCTTTTCTACAAAAAGTTTGTTCCAAATCACGTGGTAGGTAGGTCGCCACGGCGTCGTATTTTGTAGACGAATGTATTTAGTCGTTGGAGATTGAAAGAAATCGCGTTTGTTGAGCGGATGTTAATTTTTATGTTCGTTCGGGAAAAAGTGCTACTGAGACTTACGAAACGTTGAAGCAGGTATAAGGCTGAGATACATTATCACGAACGCAAGCTTTTTAGTGGCATCGTCGCTTCAGAGAAGGCAGGGAAAGTGTCGAAGACGACAAACGCTCTGGACGTCTACGAGTGAGGGAATATTAACGTCGGCTTTGCACTGCTAAGTTACACGAGAGCTTTTGGCAACGGACCTCGTAATTTTGAGCCCTGGTCAATTGACGATGACGACAGCTGAGCTGGCACCATCTCGCCTAATTATCACACCACATCAATAGGACGTTTGAGCTCTTGACATATTTAACGTGCATCGCTCCCCTACACTGTGGGTCTTTAGTGGTACTGGGCTCGAACTCGTGAAAAACCAGCCATGATCCGATACCTTGACCACTAGGCTACCGCGGCCACATATTAACACCGCACTGTTCAGCTACACGAGGGCTTTTGGCGACAGACCTCGTAATTTTGAATCAAGTGCCGAGGCCCCCCCCCCCCCCCTTTAATCTAACTACCAAACCACACCACACAAACGTGAAGACGTTTGAGCTCTCGACAGATTTAACGTGCATCCTTCCCCTACACGGCGGGTCTTCAGTGATACTAGGCTCGAAGTCATGACACGCCGTCCACGAGCTCGTTTGGACTTCCACAGACTTCTCACATCCCTGAAAACATCGAAAAGGTTTCTTTTGAGGTACGTAAGGACAGGCTTCAAACAATAGCAGAATCAATTTGGATATCCTCGACCACATGTCAATGGATACTGACTACGGATCTTAACATACATTGGGTGTGTCAACATATCGTTTCCCTCAAGTTAAACGCAGATGAAATTAGAAGTGCATCGCAGGCTGAATTAAAGGACATAACTAAAAATGGATTCTAGAAATGTTTGGATGACCTCTAAAAGCTATGGCAAAAGTGTGTTGTTACTTAAGGGTTTTATTTCGAAGGAGGGTGTGTTTCAGTAGTTTAATTGGTAATATTTTTTTTAGTTATGGACTCAATCCAGGAACTTTTGAGTCCTACTATGTATTCTTTTATCCCAGTATCTACTATATATAAAATCTTGCTTCCATTCAATAATTAATCTCATTTGATCATCCTAATTAATCTTTCTCTAAATCAATTTGTATTCGGTCGACTCGATGAAAATTATCGAAAAGTTATTTGTAATTTTTTTACGTATGAGATTATTTATGTTAATAATTGGTCTATTTCTATGGGACCACTCGCGATAATAATCACCCAAATATAATCTTTCGACGAAAAATAAAATTAACTTCAGTTATTGCATTTTAATTTGTTATATATACTCAAGTCTCGGTTCCTTACGTACAGGAAACATTTATCAAGAACAGTCTTGAAACATCTTCCCAATCAATAAGGTAGTTAAGAACCTGTTTCTAATTATTCATATTTCAATTAAGGTTTTTCAGACATCTATAATTTTGAATCTTTATGCACGAATTAATTACATCGATTTAACATGTTGCTGGATGAATATGATATGCTAAGCGGAATGAAACATCCTGTAACTGATTTCATAAGTTAAAAATACCGTGTTTAAATCATACGTATCTCTTTATTCGTATCATGTTAAATAAGTTTTATACCATATACTTCCAATTATTTTTCTTTCAAAATGTTTGCAGGAAATTTAAAGTAATTTGCATTTGAAAAGTAATATTAAAAAAAAAAATTTTTTTTATTCAATTTCTACTTAGGTCAACAATGATAAATTTTATTTGAGTTACTTTTTATTAAGTAATTACAATTAATATAAATATGTAAAAACAAATAACAGAATCACAATATTAAGTGACAAAATAGAAAGCGATTTTCCTTTCTATATATGGTGTTAAACCTATGTTTTGTTTGTTACTATTTATTCATTCATAAATCACAGTTTCAGAAATTAGGCTCTCCCAGGTAGAATTCGAATCCACGATCTTAGATTAGAAGTCCAAAGCGCTAGCCTTTGCGCTACAGGGACACAACGAGCTATTTTCCTTTTTATATAGGGTGTTGAACTATTATTTTTGTTTGCTACTATTTATACATTAATTAAATTTAATTAAGGAATTAATATTTGAAAAAACTGTATTAACATGAAGTGTCATCCACTACAAGTTTAAAAAATGTATTTGAACTTGAATGGATTAATAGAAAGTATTTCATTAACGATTAAAAATTTGAACAAGATATATATATAGGGAGAGTGTGAACTGATAGTGGGAATTGAAAGAAGAAGAGACAAATTAAACTGTACAAATTTGAGCTGAAAAGTTTGAAAAAGAATGAAAATAAATGAATAAATTATATATTTTTTTTTTTGTTGATATCAGGAAACATTAATGGTTTTAATAATCTGCGGAAAACGCATTATGTTCCTTTTCTAAACTGAAACTTAAAAGGAGCTGTGTTTCAGAAAATAAATTTAGGTGATTTTCTAAGATAACTTTTTTTTATGCTTCTAATTACTAATTTCTTACAAGGATATCAGTTTTTTATTCATTATGTTAATGATATATTCGTTCATAACATTAACTAAATTCGGTAGAATTTAACTAAAAATAAAAGCTCCTTCATTCAACTCATAAATAAGCTCAAAATATTTCTGTTTTATTAATATGCATTAAATTAATTAATACTAATTATTAATATTTTTAATTAATAAATTATTATGAGTTATAGTTATAAGACAATTATCTTTTGTATATATTAGAAAAGAAGTTCGAACGTCGCGTATTAGCTAATTATGGAAGAAAAATCAATAGTAAATTCGTCAAAATTTTATAAATGGTACTTATTCACAGTCATCAAAAAATGTAAATATATTTAAATTTTACTTATCATGAATACAAAAGATACGCTTTACGTTGTACATAAAAAAGCTATTCTAAAAGTAGTACTTTTAATAAGATAAGTAACATTTAAAAACCATTCACCAGTAGTTTAACATTTTTAAATTCAGTGATAAGTCTAATATTTTAAATTAAACGCTATTTTACATAAAACTAAACAAATTCGTTTATATACCAGCAATAGTAATTGTTGAATACTGTTTGTAATCTCATTTTAAACACCACCAAACAAAATTTACATAAAAATAAAATGCACATCACAATAAAATCATAAAACAATAAATATAGTGTTGTTCTTTTTGTGAAATTATTTCCACGCAGCTTTCTGAGTGGAAATAATTTATTTAACACAAACGATTACGAAAAATGGCATACAGCAAAGTAGCTGACCACTGCACACAGCATCTGATCGGCGTGGACCCCATAGAAGAAAAGCGTGGAAGAGAAGCGGGAAAACGCGTGTGGGCGAATCAGACAGTTATCCTTCCACCAGAAAAAATAGTTCACTCACTTCAACCTAACATATTGCATAGTTAAAAAGTTGGTTCAATGAAACACAAAAGTAAATATTAGTCGTTTAAAAAAATATTAACTTTAAAATTTTTATTTAAATATATATCAATAAATAAATTCTTAAGTATTATAATGGAAATATATTCGGTTGATTAATTGTTTACTAAAGCCGGATTTTGAAGCTACACGAAGACTATTGGGAACGGTCCTCGAAATTCTTAACCTAGATCAAGTGTCGAAAACAACACCAGAGTTAGAACCCCACTCTCATAATTTACACATCGCACCAACGTGAGAAGTTTGAGTATCGACAAATTTAGCCGTGCATGAGATCATCTGCACGATGGGAGTTTGCAAGCAACACGTCTCGATAAAACAACACCAACCATGAGTTCGTTACCATAATCACTTGTAGTATACTGTGGCCACATGAATATATGTGTATGGAATTAATAAAAGTTTTTCCAAGAAAGAAAAAAGTATTTCAGAAACTTAACAAATAGTAATCTTTTTCTTAGTTCTTCCGATTTCAAAATTTTAAATTGTGGCTTAAATCAGTTATCTTTTTCTTTTTTTTTTCATCCAACTAAAATTAATATCTAAACAAGTCCGTACCCAGATTTATAAACTAATTCCCTATAAATAAAAATAGACCCAAATTTTTATTGATTGACTTAAATTCAAAAGCCTATTTTCAAAAGAAAAAAATCTTTTTTTTCAAGAATTCAATCAAAAATTTTATAGAATGTGTAATACATTATATTAGAAAGAGAAATTTATTCTTAAGAAAATACTTTTATTTATCTTAAATTTATCCATTCACATGAATAAATCTGAGTTAAATATATTTTCTTAATCTCTTTTATAATTTTAAAGAATAAAAATAATAATAATAAAAGTTTTATGAAACTGGAAAAAAATCTTACTAAAATGCAATATTAAAATCATTCAATAAAAATTACAATAAAGTACTGATACGTGATGCAATATAATGTTTAGGCACGATATAATTAGTCCCAAATTTATATCTAAACCTTTCTTAGTAAGGGTATTTCTTTGAACATAAAGCAATTTATTTTTATGTAACCTTAAGGAAACAAAACTAGCGGGTAAATGCGTGTTGAGTTAGTTCTCAAATAATCCATAAAAAAAAATAAAAAAATTAATACAGTAATACAGGAATGTTTTTGACTTCAAAATGTTTTTAAATGCAGATGGAAAATAAAGTATAAGAGTGTTATATTTTTATTTGCATATAAATAAATTCAAATATGTAGATTTTTGTTCATGAATATGCTCGTGTGGAAAGAAAAAAAAAATCTCATTTTGAATAAGCAATATTTATACTTCACTCTTCAGTACCAGGTATGGTGTTTTAAAAAACGATATAAATATAAAAAAATATGACTAATGAAATATTAACTGAAATACCTGTACCACGAAAATTTAAAAAAAAAATATAAGATAGAAAAAATATTTCATACTTATAAGATTAGCAAAAACCATGCTCAAAAAAAAAGCTTTAGGCAATTTATATACATCTCCCTATACCAACCACCCAAAACATGTGCCGAAATAAAATTATATATTTATAATTATGAGTAAAAATATTCATAAATAATTTTAATTATGTATGATCCCAAATTTGTTTTTATATGCAATCGATATATTTATATACTCATATATAGAGCATAGTTATCTTTCAATCCGTCTAGAACATGTGAAAAAATATGTATTATGTTCTAAAAAGAATAAAATAACATCAAATAAAGATGCATTGCATTTTTAGTTTTAAAAATTAATGAGAATTCCACATTCAACTATTTATATGCAATTAGAACTTTCAATTAATACATTAGATTTAATAATTAATGTATTGATATTCAAATTACATTAATTGTTGGTCAATAAAAAAGGATCTTATGGTAATATACCAGAAGCTTAAACAATTAAAATTTTGTACCTTAAAAATTATATGTAATAAAATAATATTTCAATTACTTTAATTGAAGATCTAAAGAAAGTTTTTATAAAACAATTTTTTTACAAAATACTAATTTTTAGACATAGCTTGCCAATATAATTAAGAGAAATCAATAAGTCAATAAATCTTTATTCGAGTATTTTAAACTTGATTTTCTTTTATAATAAATAATATAAATCATACTTTGCTGATATAAAAAAAACTATTAGTAAAAAAAAATAAAAAATGTTTGAAGAGTTACGAATACCATTTTCAAAAAATAAGTTTTCTTTAAAATATAAATAAATGTTGATCATTAAAATCAAATATATATATAAATGTATTAATACTCGACAAAACAAAACTATTTTTTGACAATGCATAATGTAGTAACAGCTACAACACATTGAGTATAATATATATATATATAAAACTTTTCAAGAAAACATAGAATCATTTCTCGAGTTTATAAAGTAAAAAAAAGATATATTCATCCATGCAGATCTCTTTTTAAAAGAAGAAAACGTACAAGAAAATTTTGCATTATAAAATCAAAATTACTCACAATGAAATCATAATTTGAACGTCCATCAATTTGGGCAGTGGAATATCTCCTAGTTCCAGGTAAAGTCCAACTCTTTGAAATCACCATTTAAACAAATGTTCAAGAATCCAAATCACATGCTTCCATAAAGCACAACAAATCGGTTTTTTCGACTAACTACAAAAGTAAAGCCGAACACATCGTTTTTACCAGTTTTGGGGAAATAGAAAAACAGTTTTCTTCCCGCTTTCCGAGAAACGACTGAATGATTGGCTGATTTTATCTAATGCTACCTAGAGAACACTCCAGTCAAATCTGGCCGATGTGACTTTTCACTGTGTCGCTGTGTTCTGTAGGTTAATAGGAGGAAGAAAAATAAGAGAGGATTTAGAAGCTTTTTTTGTTCTTTTTAACAACACACAGATTGTTATGCGTTCTCGTTGACTTCACATGCTTTGGATGGTAGGATCCATTAGACTCTTGTTGGACCATAGAATTTTCAAGGTTTTTGGAATAAAGCGTATTATTAGTGACGTAATAAATTGCAATTACAATCAACAGATTCTTTACGTTTTTGGCAATAATTTAGAATTTATTTTAATTCTTAACGTGAATTAAATAAGTGTTTTGTCTGTATTGAATGAAAATATTTGCTCACTGCGTTCAATGATTTAAATAATTTTTTTAAGTCTGTTTATTGATTTTTATACGAAATAGATAGAGTATTTGGGGAATTTACTAACCTATTTAAATTATATATACCAGTGTATTTTTATTGGAATTCTAAATAACCCTTTAGAAGAATGAAAGATAAAAGAATTTTTTATTGGTTCACATTTATTCTTTTCACCGGAAAATATTTTCATTTCAATATCAAGAATAAGTTTTTATGGGTTCTCAGATATATATTTTTTTTTTAAATGTGATAGTTCAATTTTTTATTTCATGAATGCATAGTAAATACAAATAAAATAAGTACAATAATCTATATTTGGGAAGATAATTATTATAGAAATATCATAGGATAAACATTGTATTCAGGAATTCAAGATGATTGACAGACAGGAATTTTAAGATACAAGAGGATTACCTTTTTACTGTTAAAAATG